TCAACAGTCAGAAAAGAAGACTTGGAAAGACCACTTGCGTTTGTGTGTGTCTTTCTTTCAGTAACCGGTTATTTTAGTACAATACTCGATGTCTCTCCCATTGTTCCACTCTATTGTTTTATCGCTCATCGTATTTTTATGCTTAAAAGGTTCCATTATACCGTAATAAAGGTGCCGTGCTTGTACGCATCATGGACTGTGTATGAAAAAACGCTGCATCGAGTTTCCCTTTTAACATTATGAATTAAACTTGATCAAAATCAATGATGATCTTTGTTGTTTTGTCTTTTTTATATAGAAACCAGGACCCAGTCTTAATAAACATTTCATCTGTCGAATCGTCCGAACATTTCTAATTAGTTTTCATAGAATCAAAAAAGTCTCAGAGTGTTCGAAGCAGATCTTCCATCCGAGATAAGAGCCGATAGTTATGGCCCTGCCAATATGATGTTGGATGTCGTCGTAGTAGTCGAGAAGAAAGACGGCCACTAGATCCGATCATTTGAATAGGTCGGCGGTAGCGAAGGGCAGCAAATGTAAAATGCCGGCCACTGTTGCTTCCTACCTGTTGAACACGTTCGTGTTCACTTCAATTCGCGCACAGATAAAAATGGAACTGAAGAAGAGTGGTAACTTTTTAAATTTGTGGGAGGTTGCAGGATGCATCGTGCTTGATTTTCCGCTAACGACCCCATTGTTGTCGGTCAGTTAATTATTGCGCTACCTATGGCAAGCTGATATTGTTGGTACCCACCTGGGCCCGGGTCGAGCCGGACCCGGTGACATTGCATTCCACATTCTCCGGTTAACAAACTCCGGAGCGTACGCCCACAACCTCCATAACTAATATCCGAGGCAAATCGATAATTTGCACATAGACAGCGTGTGAGAAGCAAAAACAATTGCTCCGAACGCAGGCCACCATTAGCAATACATCAACTACAATTTGGAAGGAATTACTATCATCGTGCATTATTTGGAAATCAAGTTTCGTTTTTTAGCAAAAGCTTTGATAAACAGCTAAGACTTTATTTTATTCCTTCAATCTGGACTTAAAATGTAAAATTTTAAAAATTTCTAATTATTTATTTATATTATTTACATAACTTTTTATAGCCAACACTGGTAGCAGATGGTCTATAAAATTTGTTTCCATCCAACTAATCCATTTCATTCCATATATTTTCCTACTATTTTTTCAAAAAGTAGCTTTCTTTATTTTTCTTTCATTACCTTCTTCAAAACATTAAAGGAATTAAGTTTAAGGGCCGTATGCAGAAACGTTGATTTATTTATATCAACTGATTAAGAATATTAGTGGATATAGGTTTTGCACTACATGGCAACGTAGTAATTTTCTTTAAAAACTGTTGCTTTATAAAATTGGATACTTATCTTTCAACGTTTATTTTTTCCCTAAAAAAGTCGATTTCTATACATTGACATTTTAAATTAGACATGAAACAATTAAAATGTCATCAAGATTTATTTGACATTTGTGACATTTGCTTTTAACCATAGAAAATAATAAAGTCATGGTTTACTAGATTTGTTTTTTGGCCAATAAAATCATCTAAAATGTAAATTGTTTAATAACAGTGTATTATGTATCAAGTTTGATAAACGCCATTTTATACACGAATTTAATTTAGGCACGAGCGAGCTTGCGAGCGAGTTCTTAAATTAATGAGTGAATAGAAAAGTTTATAAACGAGGTGCATATTATACTTTTTCTACGGCAAATACCTACTTATTATTATCTTAAAATGATTTAAATCAAATATTTTTATAGAGCGCCATCTCGTCAAATGTCAATTTTTTTTATTTTTAAACACAGATTATAAAGGTTATAAATCGAAATGTATTTCTTGAAAATGGACAGTTTTTTACAGTGAAAATAAAGAAAATGTTTTATGAGCACTTTACAGTGGAGTCCGTGCTCGAATTTAAGTTATAGTTTACTGCCGTCAAAATTAAAAGGTCAGTACAATGTTCATATAAACTTTTCAAATATTGCAATATTGGCGTTGAGAAACTATTTAATAGTTTTGTATTTTTGTATTGAGATAATAAAATAATTTTCACATTTAGTATTATTTTACAAGAAAGGCACTTTATTTTAACGATTGTATGACATTTGACAACTCTCAACTATCTTAAAACTCCAGCCCCTGACTAAAAACCTGTTGCTAACTTCAGCCCGTGACTAAAACGCCGTAAAGCCACAACTTGTCAATGTGTATTTAAAAGGTCACTTATAAGTCACTATAGTCACTATAGTGTCATGGAAACTTGTACGATAATGGTCGTTTTAAAGGTGGGAGTAGAAAAAATTTATATCATGATATAAACGACTGCAGTCGTTAACGACTGATTTAAAATATGGATAAACATAGACAGTATTTTTGTTTGTAAATATTCAAGATTCAAATTTACTTATACCACACATTGCAAACTACGAACATAACCCAATTGTGTATGTTCTATATTTCGACAATCCTCTTCAAACCAAGTTTTTGTCAATAATAAGGTTTAGTCAGTTATAAATGTATTTATGGGTATACAATGTATACTATACATATTAAATATACATTTTAAAAATGTATTACTCTTATGTAATAAACACATATTTAAGTATATGTAAGATATCCTACAAATATTTACTGTCAATATTTGCTATGTTGCCAAATTGGTTCAAACTGAAATCAGTGTATATGCGAAAATCAGTTGATATAAATAAATCAACGTTTCTACATAAGGCCCTTAGAGTTGTGTTGTTATTATATCATTGATTTACCTAAATAATTCATTATTTTCTGTTACAAATGTATACAAAATTTCCCAGTTACTGATTAGTTACTTACCTACTGACGGTTACTGACCAGTTACTTACTAATTACTGTTTATTAACTGACTAGTTACTTATAAGTAACTGAAGAGTTACTGTTTTTAATTTTGTAAATTTTGAAATCGTTTTATATTTATTTATTTATTTTGCATCAATTTTTCGGACTCGCCAAAGAAGTTTCACTTCAATAAGTGTGTGCACATTAAAAGGATTAAGTTATCCCTCTCTCAAAACCACTTCCTTATCCAATTATTTAGACGCTCAACTAGGCAAAGTCTAATTATATAAATAAGATAATAAATTTACGATTGCCGTTTATAAACGACCAGCGATATATTAGGGATATTTTTTGCGATTATAATTTTAATTCTGAATTACTTACATCTGGCTTGTCATGTAAAGAAATAAAACAAGTTTTACGATTACTCTAATAAATAATAGCAACATCAATTACGTTGCACAAGATGCCAGATGCACAAACACTTTATTATTTACGTGGAAAAATATCGATTCATTTGAATAAATCGCACTTTATTTCGCATGGGTTTTAATGTGTCATTATTATTATTTCTCTTTTCTCAAAAGAAATGCCATCCTTAAAAACGTTATAGATTATACATTGCGGCTGGAATAATTATTTGACTTCAGTCTTCACGCACTGCCTAAAAAAAATTGGATTTAACTTTCTATTCTTATAAGGAACTAGTTTAATGGCTACTTTTCATTGGTGTTATCATGCAAAAAGTTTATGTTTTTAATAAATTATAATTATCTGGCAAAAACCACTTACAAAACAACTCATCAAGCAAAGTTAGTACTCAATAAAAATAATAATAATGCAAAGATCTTTGTTTTACGACTTGGAAAAGGATAATAAAATAATAATCGTATGGTCCATGTTGCCATTTTTATTATAAGCATTATAAACACTTAATTTGCATTGTTTAATGACAACGTTTATTTATTTAATTTATTTATAAGTTATAAAGTAATTTCTATAAAAAATTATATAGATCCGGTTTAATAATTCATATAAAGAAATAATTCTTAATTGAAGAAAAATGACCATAAAGTAACGGCCTTGCCTAGGGCGTTGCTTTTATGTAATTCGCACTGAAAGGACAATGATCAATAATGCAATATATAATAACGCGACTTGCATGCATAATTATTATTTTTTATTTAACGGAAAAACGAATGGACTTGAACAGATCGTTTCTGTTCTTGTTGTATTTACTTTGGTCATTAGAGCATTTAAGATTCTCGAGGTGAGTGGTTGGTGCTGGGGTACTGGTTTGGCCTGAGCAGCAAGAACGCATTCTACATACGTATCGTCGACTTAAACAAAGTATCCCATAAAATAATTATGGATAAGCCGCCAAGTCGACGATCCCTCCGGAGAAATTGATTAATGCCGAACGGCCTGATGGGATTTCACGTTTGCCATTTAGAATTGTCTCCGAGCCACTTTATGGTGCCATTCCAGATTATAGAAATGGAAGCGCATAAAAATACCGGCTACCGTTTTTCTATAGGCTTCAGTAATGTAACCGATAAACGTCCTTTGCGTTCGATATACAGAGTTTTTGCGATGTTAAAGATTTACTTTTTAAAACTTTCGCTTGCAAAGGAACACATAGAGACATTAAGAGTTGATTCGTACGACTTCCGGCATAATATTATAATCTAAGGATTATGAAAGTAGTTATTTAACCAATTGAAAATGTTTGCATTTAGTTAAATATTTATTCCTTTGTTGAAGTAATAAGCATCTTCTGGTTAATTAACTTCATTGCATACACATTTTCATTAATTCTAGTGTATTAGAAACCTACCTTATATGGACGGCACTCCTTCCAAAGGGACTAACTCATCTAAGATCTAAATCGAGAAGAAAGCCACATATTATTTTTTACATTTAATAATAAACTTTGTATTATTTATAAGAGTTCACATGTGGCTAGGTTTATTTAACTTATGTCATCTGTCATATCATTAAAAAACCTTAGTCACCACAAGGGTCCTAGATTGCCTCCTTGGGTTACACCCACTGCACAGCAGTGGTGCCGATCTTATCTATCATTTATAGTCTATTATTATACCTACTTAATAATTTCACTGTTGTTTAAGAGATTTTTTTTTGTTTTTTCAGTTGTACTTGCGAAGAAGGATACACAGGACAAAATTGCGAAAGCGAATATATTCCTTGCGATCCAAGTCCGTGTCTAAATGGTGGCCAGTGTCGACGGAGAGATAAACATTCTTACATTTGTGATTGTCCATCTGGTAAGTCATTTTTTCAAATATAATTTAGCATTAAAAAGATAATCTTAAAAAGCATTAAATCAAAACCTAAAAAAAGTTGGTTGGCAACCAACCTTTCTATGGCGCGTCACATTGCAAGTTAAAATAGTAAGCTATAAAAAATGAATAACATTTTTAGAGCACAGCAATACATCGAATTTTTCGCAGCGGCAAGTTTTTTCAGCAAACCGAACGATCTTAAATTCCTAAAAACAATACTTATTACAGGTATACTGAGCTACTCGAATTCGGTTCGATTGTTCGCCAAAGCCATAATAAATGTAGCATTGTTGTTGTTTACCGTAAAATTTCCCGCCGCATTTTTACAACAGCTCAAAATATTTTCTAAACATGTGCCGGACGTGGCTTTCTTCTCTTCTTATTTCGTTATTGGAAATTGTTTCGAGGCGAAGCATATGAATAGAATGTTTTGGAATTCTATTAAAATAGTTTAAGGTTTTTATATCTGTTTGCTGGAGTTAATAAAATCTTGGATATTGTATTAAGATTGTTAATAGGGATACTTAAGATACGGTAGTAATATCTAAATGCCCATAAATCCTAACTGGTTTTTAGAATTCAAATAAGTCATTAGCCCACACAAACTGAACATGCAGAAAATGGTCGACAAAATTTCGTATAGTTGCGCCACAAATGCAAATAAAATTCAAATGAAATTGTTCCTGTTTACATGCGCACATAAATATTGATACAAACGTAATTTATGGGAAATTCATTCGAGCCAAGTTAACAAATCACTTTAATTTAGTCGGTGCTGCATTTGGCATAATTAGAACTCGCAGACCGTGATCTTGAAGACTTGTTTGCGGTAAATTGGTATTTTCACGTTACACGCCGTGTTAATTATTAATATTAGTTACGCGAAATTAAACGATGTTACTTATCTGTTGAAAAACGATCAAATAAATGAAAATAAAATTCCTAAAATAATAAAGTAATTACTTAAGTAATATCCGCTTATACATTTTTAAACCTACATAATCCATGAATTAATGCATTAATGGATTAATGCATTTGAACCTAAAAAACGCTGTACAATTATTTGAAATTATCCCTTTTTGATTATTTTTATCTTCCAAAACACATTTGACTTCTTAATTTTGTTCTTTTATATATAATAACTATAGTTATAGTTATATATAATAACTTTGTCATAAGTCTAATAACTGAGCCTTTTTGTGCTGAGCAAAGCAGCAAAATACACTTCTCAGCTGCATGCCATAAAAAAATTTATCTTCAATACATAAAACGTACAATTATTATCATAATATAATTAATAATTATAATAATATAATTATAATATTATAATTATATTATAATATAATTAATTATTATAATTATATATATAATTATTAAAAGTAGATAGTGGGGTTAGATTGGATCTGACATTAGTCGAATTCTTCTATTGGTCCAAACGGGATTTTTATTGGTCTTAATTATTTTTATAGCCTAGAAGATAATAACAAACTTTGGTAGTGAGCGTTGACTAGGGTTTTAAAATTTGCGGAAAAATTGAGCCGGCGAAAAAAAACCCGGTTTTTTCCAAAAAAAAAAAAACAGGAAAAATTGACTTTTTTATTTAATTATTATGCGCAAAAAGGCAAAAGTCAAGTTTTCTGAAATTTTCCAAATTTTTACGGATAATATCCGTACACTGATATCGATAAAAAAGTGAATTTCCGACGCTGAGCATATAATATTATGATTATATTTAATTATTCGTTTTACTTTATTTTAGTTAGAATAGGTGTTCTACCTGTCCGCAAAAAAAACATTCGGTGCTGTATTAGCATAACTTTCGTTTTATTTGACACTTCGATTTATAAAATTATAATTTTGTAATTTAACTTTATTTTGTTATTGGATATTTTTTATGGACTGCAAAAAGACCCAATTTAACGTTTCCTTTTATTTTCTAAAATTAATTTAGTTTTATCTTTTTTCTCTAATAAAGGGTATTTTTTTTAAATTAAAATAATGTTAAGATATTGATTGCTACTTTAATAATTAAGCCTAAATTATAGATATTTTTTAGTACATTACTGGCATATTATCTTAAATTATAGATATTTTTTAGTAATATATAGATACCACAATTAATTTATCATTAATTTAAAATAATAAAAATCAGTTGACTTGAAAATCTTATTTTGCTTTAACAATAAATAAATTCTTAAAAAAAAACATTGAACTTCTTCATATCTTATTTTTAAATGGAATGCCTTTAGGAAAACTTGCAAGTAACCATGGTAACCTATAGGAAACTCTGTGTAATAATCAACAGGTGGCGTGCATTAAATTTGCATTCGAAAAATTTAAAAACTGACCGCGCACATTTCATTTGCTTTCTAATGAAGGCTGATTGAAAATAACCGATGTGGATATCCCCCTTGATCGGTGCAAATTTTATCGCCAGCGCATGAAAATAAAATCGGCTGTTTATATGCAATCAGCGTCAAATTAATGGGCGTCGTTTCTCACAACTTATGCCTGCTGAATTAAAATAATTATGTCCTGTAATTAATGCAGAACAGAAATTTCGAATGGAGGACGTCGTTTTAAATAAATTTAGAGCTCAAATTGCTCTCGGGAAACAGCTTGATTCCACGGCAATTTAAATATTTACTGGTTTGTTTGATTACGATTACTTTGTTAAAAGTTTTCTTGCATACGAAGAGCTGTATGTTAAAAGATTGATTACAAGCATCGGTCACAACAATGTTCGTCAAAATCTTTGTACCTTTCTATCTTTATCTATTGGACATTGAATAATAAGTGTGAGGCGTTTAAGTTTGGTTATGCCACTTTAACAGTAGGGATCATACAATTGTCATTTTAATATTGGTGTATTATCTAGCCAAGATTTTATCGCCTGTCATAATTATCATAATTTAATCATCAATAAAGATACGGTTCCGAATGTAGTGCATAAATAAATATTAGATTTAATAAAGTCATCATTTATTTCTATAAAAATTACTACATTAAAACCTTACCAAAATTAATTGTTAATATATATATTAACAATTAACAGATAAGTTATCAACGATAATATTAATTATTTCCTATGGCAAATTTTTATAACGAATATATTCGTAGCTATAGCTAGTAGCTTAGTATAATAAAAGTTGTGTTAAAAAGTGTTACAGTATTAATGTGCTTATTGATGAAATAATGTGTATTCCAATCAAGGCGAATAGTACTTGGAAATGCAAAGTAAGACAAATTACATGAGCAGAGGTGTGGCTTTTTGGCGCAAATGAGATTTAAGTAGGTTTATCCACTGCAGTGTTTAATACACACACCGGGTTGTAATGTACGCAATTATTTTGATAGTTGTTTTTGTATACATTAATGATAGCCAACTCTTAATAATTGGTATTATTACAATCATTTCCCAACCTTAAAATTTTATGTGTCCTACATTTTGTTTATTAAATTTAAAAAATATAAACCAAACAATGGCAATATCTATTTAATTATATATCTTTCAAAATTTCCTCTTAGGCATCTGTAGAATGACGATGACGTAAAAGCATCACAATAAAATCTAATGAACTCGAGGCAGTTAAATCGTATAAAACAAGTGTTGGCTATAATTAAGTCTATTTTAGGAAGAAAACATGTGCGAGTGTGGTATTAACGACACAAAATTATATTTGTTGTCATAACATTAAAACGGTATTTTAACAGGGCGAACAATTTTTATTACTGAAATGCTCCTTAATTTGGCAACACCGTCCGCGCATTCCTTCTTTATTTCTTTGTAGCTTAAAAGTTTGCATGTCGAGAGCGCATTATTTTCAGCTTAAATGATATATGAGTCATATTACATACGTATACTGCCGCAGTACTACTTTTTACTAAGAATAATTTCCATCTCGTTTTAAAGCCATTGAGGTTTTATCTGCCAACATCGTTGGCAAAAAAGATTTAATCGCTAGGTCTTGACTTGAAACAAGGCTTTGGAGTCGAGATGAACGATTAAAAGTTTATTTTGTCGAGGAAATGCCTTAAAAGAGCAAAATTTTATCTTATTCTTCCGTTATGTGTACAATCGAGTAGAAATACTATGAAATATCTCATCCAGTCAAATTAATTCAAAACTCAATAACAAATTGTTTTTACTTAAAATAAATTGTTAAATTGACTTTTAAACGGAATTGACACGAAGCATATTTTTATTTTAATATTGAGTTGCCTGGAATATACGACCGCGGTTCGGTCTAAAGATTTGTGTAGGTAGCCGATCACATTTGAATATAAAACTTTACCCATTAATTCTGTACAATTTAAGTGACACCTGCATTAATAATATTTAGCCTTTAGATTTATTGCATTTATTAGCAATAGCTCGGAACGAACGATAAACTTTTTCCATTGGCTTGTAGATACATTATAAGCATATCAAATATCTTCTAACAATTAATCTTCTTAAAATTCGAATATAAAATTTGACGGTTCGAGAATTGAATTTGAATGCCGGGCTTAGTGTTTATGTTGGATTCATCACGGTCTATGCATTAAATACTTGCCGAGATAATCTGGTGAGCGTAATAAATTTAAATTAAATTAATCCCGTCTTCTTGTAATGGCCAAGAATGCCGTAAAATTATAACCGAAATCTGCTTATGAAACCTTTCTTCTGCGTGTATGTAGCCAGCTTTGAATATTCTAACCAAACCACTATTAATTTTTTCGGTATTATGACTAACTACTCTGTAAAAATGAATTAGTCAAAAATGACTAATTTAATAGTTATTAGTGAAGCAGTTTTTGAGATAGTCAATTCCATATTAAATGGAAAATTGACTATATCTCAAAAACTGTTCCACTTTTTTAACTTTTGACGACATTTTCAGGGGAAAATTTTACATAAGAATTGACTGTTAAATTTTGGGATACCACGGTATTCCATGGTTAACCATGGAACAAGTGAAAAAGCAGCCACTAATAACTAT